GCCACCATTCGTTTATTATTCAGCTGTTCATGGACATTTAGATTGTTTCCAGTCTTTTGCTTTTACAAACAGTGGATGCAGGGAGCATTTTTCACGTGGGCAAGAATTTCGCTGAAGGATATAAGTGTGAGGGCTGTGTTATGGGTTATGCACATCCCCAGGTAGGAAAACGTTACTGGATTTCCCCCAAAGTGCTTTAATTTGTACTCTTACCACAAGTGTGAATTTCATTGCACCATATCCATGCCAACATTTGGTAGTATCAACCGTTTTACTTTTGTCTCTCTGATGATCATGGAATGGTATATAGCTTGTAGCTTTCATTTTCATTTAGTGGATCACTAATAACGTTGAGTATCATTTCAGATGCCTTGTGAGCACTTGAGTTCCTGCTTTTGTGAATTACCTGTTCAAATCTTTGCCCCACTGTTGGTGTTATTATTACTGTTGAGGTTTTGCTGGCCTTTTTTATTGTTGCTGCTTTGTAGGAATTGTTACGTATTTTGAATATTATTCCTTTACCAATATCACAGATACCCTTTTCTGATTTGTGTTTTTCCTTTGCTTCTGTATCTTTTGATCTAGCCTCATTTTAAGGTAATAGATTTTTTTGATCTGTCCTGTTTCCCATTCTTCTCTATCTATAAGTAAGAAGAATAATCTGTTTTCTTCTGAAAGTTTTTCTTATCATATCTAGGTTTTTAATCTACCTGGGATTTAGCACGCTTATTCTTCAGAGGCAAGTATTGGGTTTCCTCGGAGAAAGAGCAACGATCATTTCTAGTGGGCTCTGATAAGTGTTCTGATGCTGGGCTCCTCGTGTAGGCTTCAAGCAGTCTAACCTCATCTCTCCTATGCATGCTTAGTACTTTAGTTTAATTTAATTTTTTAAAAGATTTTTTGGGGCGCATGGGTGGCTCAGTGGGTTAATAAGTCTCTGCCTTTGGCTCGGGTTGTGATCCCGGGGTCCTGGGATCGAGTCCCACATCGGGCTTTCTGCTCAGTGGGGAGCCTGCATCCCTCTCTCTCTCTGCCTACTTGTGATCTCTCTCTCTCTGTCAAATAAATAAATAAAATCTTTTTTAAAAATAAATAAAAGATTTTTTATTTGCTCATTTGAAAGAGAGAGAGAAATGGAGAGAGCACAAGCTGGGGGAGAGGGAGAAGCAGACTACCTGCTGAGCTGGGAACCTGATATGGGGTTCGATCCCAGGACTTGGAGATCATGACCTGAGCCAAAGGCAGATGCTTAACCATCTGAGCCACCCAGGCACCTAGCTTAGGTATTTGACTGTAAGCCCAAGGCCTTTTCAAAAAACAAATACTAGGAGAGTTAAGAATTTTCATCTCTGAAAACCAAGAAGAGCCCCAAATGCTCTAATAGTTGAATGACTGGCAATTTGACTAGCCACACTACCACATGGCATTCTTCTTTCCTTCGTGTAGCTTCCTCACCGGCTTTTTTTTAAATTGAGGCTTTAAATTTTTTCAGACCAGTTTAAGGCTCACAGCAAAATTGAAGGGCAGGTACAGAGAGTTCCCATATGCCTCCCTACCCCACAAAAGCTTAGCCTCTCACCCATTAGCAATAGCCTGCCCCAGATTGCTACATTTGTTCCAACTGCTGTACCTAAGGTGACAGACATACCGTCACCACTCAGAGTCTGTAGTTTATGTTACGGTTCACTCTTGGTGTTACATTCTGTAGGTTCAGTGTATAGTGACATGTATCCATCATTATGCTGTCATACAGAGAAATTTCACTGCCCTAAAAATCCTCTGTGCACCACCCATCCATCCCACCACCAACCCCCCAGTTACTGGCCTCCACTGATATTTGTTCTTTTTCCATAGTTTTGCCTTTTCTAGAACATCATGTAGTTGTAATCACACAGGGTTTTTTCACTTAGTAGTAGGCATTTAAGGTTCCTCCATGTCTTTTCATGGCTTAAAGCTCATTTCTGCGTAGTGTTGAAATTCAATATTCCATTACCACAGTTTATTCAGCTACTAAAGGACATCCTGGTTGCTTCCGAATTTTGGCAGTTATGAATAAACCTGTTAGAAACATTTGTGTAGGGGTGCCTGGGTGACTCAGTCAGTAAAGCGGCTGCCTTCGGCTCAGGTGATGATCCCGGGGTCCTAGGATCGAGCCCGGCATTGGGCTCTCTGCTCAGCAGGGAGCTTGCTTCTCCCTCTCTCTCTGCCTGCTGTGCCCACTGCATCTCTGTCAAATAAATAAAATCTTTTTTTTTTATGTAAAAAAAAAAATTTTCACCATTAGAACAATGGTGGCAGTAGGATTGTCACCCTGTGCCACTTTTGGTGGGTATGTGATTCTCTTCTCCTAAACTGTTGGAACAGGCCAGAGTGTATATGCCCTTTGAGGCTTCAGCCATTTCCCTGACACCTGGTTGCCAACAGCGCAGCTGCTTAGCAGTGCATGTGGAGTCATCAGGAAACATTGTGAACTCGAAGCCAACACTGTTCCACAGCATGTATCCAGGTGGCAGGAAACAGAGATACAGTGTCCTGTTCACCTCATCATCTAACGCACCTGTCCATCATGTGACACACCTTCATCAGCAAGTTAACTCAATCTCTAGAGCTTTGATTTTGTCATCTATAAAATGGGAACAATAAACGCCTATAGAGGAGGCTCTTGTAAAAATTTAAATGAGACGAAACATCCCAATCATCTCTCCCGACACTTGGTATGCAATCAGGAAAGTTAATATCCTTCCAAACAGTTGGCATCCCAGAGAACGGAAGGAAAGAAGGAACAAAGGAAGGAAAAGGCAGATTGTTACCAAGATACTGATGTTTAAATTTGGTTTCTCTCCTACATCCTCACTAACATCAGAGAAATTAAAAATACAGCAATACTGGGCAACCTGGCTGGCTCAGTCGGTGAAGTGTGCAAGTCTTGAGCTCAGATTCATGAGTCTAAGCTCCAGGTTAAGCATAGAACTTACTTTAAAAAAAAAAAAAAGAAAATTTAGGGGCGCCTGGGTGCCTCAAGTCGGTTAAGCATCTGCCTTCAGCTCAGGTCATGATCTCAGGTTCCTGGGATTGAGCCCTGCATCAGGCTCCCTGCTCACCTGGAAGCCCCCTCTCCCCCTGCTTGTGTTCTCTCTCTCTCTGTCAAATAAATAAATAATATAAAATCTTTTAAAACAAAATTTATATATATTTCAAATTACCATTTTTTGCCTGTTTAATAAGCAAGAATTTTATGATCCTCTTAAGGGCTGATGAGGAAGGGTGTAGCCTGCACTCCTGCCAGATAAGTGAATAGGTGCACATTCCATTTGAAAAGCAGTTCAAGATCTGTATCAAGAACCTTACAATGTCCTTATCCTTTGATCTGTCCTAAAGATTCTCCTAAGGAAATGCCTTTGATAGACCTAGAATTAGTATATACAAAGTTGTTCGCCACAGCATTCATTGATTATAATAAAATCTAGGAGTGCCTAGGTGGCTCAGTCAGTTGTATCCAACTTTTTTTTTTCTTAAGATTTTTAAAATTTATTTGGCAGAGATCCACAAGTAGGCAGAGAGTCAGGCAGAGAGAGAGGAGGAAGCAGGCTCCCCACTGAGCAGAGAGCCCAATGTGGGGCTCGATCCCAGGACCCTGAAATCATGACCTGAGCCGAAGGCAGAGGCTTTAACTCACTGAGCCACCCACACACCCCTGTGTCCAACTCTTAATTGCAGCTCGATGTTGGGATCAAGCTCTACATCGGGCTCTACAGTCAGTGCAGAGTCTGCTTGTCCCTCTCTCTTCCTCCCCATGCTCGTTCTCTCTCTGTCTCTAAAATAAATAAATAAAACCTTAAAAATAAATAAGTAAATTAAAATAAAGTTATGTACACACACACCATAGAGTATAAGTAGCCATTAAAAATAATTTTTAAGGGACGCCTGGGTAGCTCATTCATTAAGCATCTGCCTTCAGCTCAGGTCATGATCTCAGGGTCCTGGGATGGAGTCCCACATTGGGCTCCCTCCTCGATGGGGATACTGCTTCTTCCTCTATCCCTCCCCCTGCTCATGATCTCTCTCTCTCTCTGTGTCTCTCACTCTCTCAGATAAAACCTTTTAAAAAGAATAATTTTTAAGACTGCAAGATGGGAAAATAAAATACAAAAAACTTCATATATTAACTGGGAAAACCAGGTTATAAAACTGTATATATACTATGATTCTAATATAAAACTGTATGTATACTATGATTCTAACTTAGTTGGGGGGGGTGTTTTTATTTATTTATTTTAAAGTAGACTCCATGCCCACCGTGGAACCCAACATGGGGCTTAAACTCACGACACAGAGATCAAGAGTCAGATGCTTTACTGACTGAGCCACCCAGGCACCCCTCTAGTTTAGTTTTGTTTTTTTTTATTTGACAAAGAGAGACACAGTGAGAAAGGGAACACAGGCAGGGGGAATGGGAGAGGGAGAAGCAGGCCTCCCACCAAGCAGGGAACTGATAACGAGGCTCAATCCCAGGACTCCAGGATCATGACCTGAGCTGAAGGCAGACGCTCAATGACTGAGCCACCCAGGCATCCCTCTAGTTTAGTTTTGTCTACACATACATAGACCAGCAGGAATTCTACTACATCTTTTCTCTAGCTTTATTGAGCTAAAACTGACCTACAACATTGTGTAAGTATAAAGGTACAGGGTGTTGATTTCATACATTTATATATTGCAAAATGATTACCACTACAGCATTAGCTAACCCCTCCATCCTGTCACATAATTCCATTTCTATTTTGTGGTAAGAACATTGAAGATCTACTCTCTTACCAGCTTTCAAAGGGATATACCACATTTAACTGTGTCTCCCTTGTTTTTTCCTGGGCAGTAGGAGTTGTAACGAATGTTTTTATTTTCAGAATTCTCTCCAATGCATTACATTTAAAATCAGGAAACTGTTACTAATCAGCATAGGTATACTAAGTGTTGTGTAATATGCTGCTTCATTCCCACAGCTGTTGCTGGACACTCATTCCCTGAAGATGGTCCTGCTCGATCTACCTTCCATTGGCTCACAGGTGGTGAGGAAAGCACCTGCTAGTTACACCAAGATTGTTGTGAAAGGCATGACCCGAGCAGAAATGATACTCAAGGTGGGGCTTATGTCTTCCTCGGGGTTTCTGTTAAAAGGGGCTGGTTATCTGGTGGCTTATTCCAAGTAGTACTGGTTTTGAAAGTACAGGTTAGGGTCTGTCCCTGTCAGTCCCAAGGGACTGTCCACATTCCTTAGCTGGACTAGATTTTGACCTCATTAGATACTGTTGAAAGTCAATAGACTGTTTACTCAGGTGATCAGTAATTCTTTCTGACAAATGAATTTTTCGTTGTAAAGGGATTCTCTTGTAGTAGGATTTGGCCAAGATTGGAAATCAGGTGGGTTGTCGCCATGAATCAGTGTCTCAGCCAAGGATCTCTTTGCTTCTCAGCAGGACTTTCTGGCCCAGGTATCAGTTACTCCCTTCCCCATAAACCTCTTCAGCTTTCTGTATTCTTCAACTTTACAGGAACTCTAAACAGATGTTTCAGGGACTGAATCTAATCAGCGAATGGACTCTCTAAAGCCCCATGTAACAAATTATTGTATGTGGGTGATGATGTTGCGAATGTCTGAAGCCTTGAGCACCTGCATCTGATTTTCACCTGCCCTTGTTGAGGGGGGTGAGGGGTTCTCTGAGGAGAGGGGAAGCCTGGAGAACAAATGAAACCGTCATGAAATGTTCCTAAAAGAGCAGGGCTTGCAGGCTTGTCATGTCTGTCTCCCAAACAGAATGACTCTCAAACGATGGCAGGAGTGGAAGGTAGCTGTGGCACCTGAGACATCCGTGGGACCAGGTGAGGGTCTGGCCTCAGGAAGTCAGAAGCAGCCTCGTCGGTTCCCCCCCACAGCTGGCTTACCCACTGGGGAGGAGAGCTCGCAGCTTGGGAGCTATCTGCAGGGAATGTCTGAATGAACTGGTCCTTGCCCCTCTGTGGTCCGTTCTCAGGAGTTCACAACAAAACCAGTCCATGGCAGGAAGAAAATCAGACACGGCGTTCCAAAACCAAAGAGGAATGAATTTGAGGCTCTCAATACCATTAGTTTCCTTCTGTTTGTGTATTAATCGATAGTTTAAATGAATGTAGTTAAATGAAGTTCAGATTTTAAGTCTTAAAGAGTGAGGCAGCTTTGGGATTTTTGTCTTTTGTCCTCATTCACTTAGATTTTTTTTAAATTTAATTTTTTTTTTAAAGATTTTATTTATGACAGAGGTGGTGAGAGAGGGAACACAAGCATGGGGGAGCTGGAGAAGGAGAAGCAGGAAGCCTGATGTGGGGCTCGATCCCAGGACCCTAGGATCATGACCTGAGCCAAAGGCTGACGCTTAATGAGTAAGACACCCAGGTGTCTTTTTTTTTCTTTTAAAGATTTTATTTATTGATTTGACAGAGAGAGATCACAAGTAGACAGGCAGGCAGAGAGAGAGAGAGAAGCGGGCTCCCTGCTGAGCAGAGAGCTCGATGCAGGACTCGATCCCAGGACCCTGAGATCATGACCCGAGCCGAAGGCAGCGGCTTAACCCACTGAGCCACCCAGGCGCCCAAGACACCCAGGTGTCTTAACCTAATGACTAAGACACACCAGGTGCCCCATAACCCACTTAGCTTTATGACTTTTGCGACCCATCCCTCAGGGATGAGGTGCCTCGGGACAGGAGGAGCAGGTATCGTGAACCCCTGTCTCAAAACAGGAGACTCCAACACGGTGTTTCACAGAATGGTCCCAATATGTAAAAATCGCCTGGGAACCAGCCCGGGCCTTCTGAGCTAAAGTCTTCAGGAGGGGGACGTAGGAATCTGTTACTCATAAAGCAATCCAGGTGATATTTGTGGTTTAGCCAATTTAAAAAACCATGCTGTCACTGAATTTGGAGATAAAATACGGCATTGGGACATTTCTGAGCTCAGGATTGCTGTCGCTTAAGGAGATCTTGCAGAATCCATTTCGGGGTCAGCTTGCAAGTAGGGAAAAAATGATCATCCGCCTTCCAGTCATGACTTCCCCTGCAGTCCTGCTCCTGTCTCTCTCCCCTGGTAGGTAGTGATGGCTCCTCACGAACCATTGGTGGTGTTTGTTGACAACTACATCAAACTCCTTACGGACTGCAACACAGAAACCTTCCAGAAGATACTAGACATGAAGGTCAGTTCAGTGAGTTGTTTTGTCCACACTCACACATCCTTGTCACACTCTGGTTCTTAACTGGGGTGGAGAGGGGAGGAGATTGGGACATGGGGTCCTAGGTAGCTCTCTCAAAGTGCCTCTGCCTGACCCCATGCTGCAAACCAGATTCTAAGAAGTGTTCTGGGGAGAAAGCTCCCGGGCCGAGTAAGTTCCTGATGGCTGCTGTTATCTCCGTGCTCCTTCGTGGACCATGGCACGGTGGAGGCTGGAAGCAGAAGGAATGCAGTGGGGAAGGAGTAGTACCCTTCCGCACTCTGTCCCTTCTCTCTTGACCCCTTCTTTTGCTCCTATTATCTGTTTTTCCTTCCTCTGCTTTTCTCCCAGGCTGCTCCTGGCCTGGGCTGGTAACTGCCCTCAATAAAGTGTTCATCATCCACCTGGAGTAATTATGCCGTTTGCACAATCCGCTGCTGCGCTTTCCCCCCAGGCCTTTCTGGGGCCAGATTTCATGATTATCCTCCTTTGTCTTTCAATCAGGGGCTGAAGAGAAGCGAGCAGAGCAGCATGCTGGAGCTTCTACGCCAGAGGCTCCCCACTCCGCCTTCAGGTCCAGAAGGCTCCAGCTCCCTGTCCTTACTGGCCCCAACACCAGAACAGGAGTCCTCGCGTATCCGCAAACTAGAGAAACTGATTAAAAAGAGACTGTAGGAGCAGACACAGGGCACTTTTGTCTCCTGGCCCGTGATGCTCAGCACCCCCTACCTCTCCTGTGCTCCCCCTGACTCTCGGATCATCTGTCTTGAAACTTCTGGGACATATGGGTTGTTAATGAGTCTTGCCCACAACCTGTCTTAATTTGCGTCCTGATCAAGAAGCCAAGCAAGGGCAGGGAGAGGAAAAGCCTCCTTGGTTGATCCCAGATTCCTACAGCAGAGGCGGCAGTGGGCGAAAGGACCCCATAGTCCACTTGTGTTCCTGGGCTGCTTTCAACCCATCCCGTTGTCACCGGCCTCGCTCCCCCACCTCTGCAGTCACATCCGTCTGGCTTGTGGCCCCATCTCCCTTGCCTGTGCAGGCAGCTTGGATGAGAAAGCCTGGATCCCACCCTTTCCTCTGTCTGCTGCTGTTTGAGGTTACCTCTGCAGCCAAGCCCTAAGACTTGTCCTCTCTGCTCTGCGGGCTTGGCTCTGGAGGAGGTGGCAGAATACGGGTGGGGGACATTGGCCTTGCCTTAAATGAAGGCAGTGGAGGCAGGAGCACTCTTCCTCATAGGTCCATTTTCCTGGTACATAATTGTCATGACTGGGCCAGTGCGTTCTTCACATTTCTCCATAACCCGCAGTCCCCTGTCTCTAAGGAGAAATTCCCACTGTGTCTCTCACCTGGGAAGATTCTATGTGTTCTCTGTGCCGTAGGGCTCCTTGCTTGGGGCTGGGGGTAGACCTGTATCTGTCCACTCACTGCATGATGTAAGCAGATTATTTTCTCCATATCTTTATCCCCACCCTGCTCCTGACTTCTAGGGAAGGGATGGCCTTCTGTGAAGAGAAACTAGGACATTTTCCTAGAAAAACTTGTCCTAGGCTTCCTCCTCAGATGAAGCTGTGGGACAGTGCAGGAGGCCTGGGCCCTCTAATCCCCTTCCTGCCCATTTATTTTAAAACCCAAATTACTTTCCAGAATGATCTGAAACAACAAAAGCAATGTGAAGTGCCAGAGTGACCTATGACTTTATTACTATCGGGAAAGAACCCAGGTCCATGGATACCTTAGGAACAGAATGTTGGCCTTAAACACCTGCTCAGAGCCTGCCCAAGCCCGGAACACACCCCGACCCTTGACCCCTGGCCTGCCCGTCCTGCCCACTGGTGTGCAGCCAGCACAGCCTGGCGGAAGAGAACTGCCTCCTAGAACTGCGTCAGTCCTCAAATCGTCCTGCAGCATGAGAACGGGCAGAGTAGCAGGTCGCTGCCCTGATTTGCCAGGCTCGCTCACGAGGGACGGAGCCCTAGCTCAACACGACCATAGCCTCAGGGCCGCCGCTGTTGGTGTGGGCCTTCTTCAGGAATTCTAAACAAGTTGCTGGCCAGGTGGGGAGAGAGCTAAGGAGGAAGGAGGAGCTCTTTACAGAGAATGCACATAACAGGCCTCAAGATAAAATTGGGATATCATATAGCACACAAAAATGAGTTTTCAGGATAGAGGAAGTTTCCTGAAAATCCATAAAACTTGTGATAGCCACACAGGAGGGCACTTTAAGGTTTGAAAACCAGGCCAGGAACTGTTCATTTCCCCCCTTCTTGTTCTCCAGTGCCCTTGCCTCTCCATTAACCTCCTCTCAGACTCAGTCCATCATCCTGGGCCTCGTTTCTTCGTCAGCTTCCAGGCTTCTCTTGCTTGTCCATGTGACTCTTAACGTGTGGAGCATGTCATGCCTCAGCAGCATGGAGCAGAAAGTGCAGCCCTCAGCTGAGCTCTCAGGAAAAGCTCCCTAAATAAGGGAAGGGGGGATAGCGTGGGGAGGGGATTGGGCACGCATGGGGGTTGGGGCTGGGCAGCCAGGCAAGACTGAACTGTCATGCTGCTCTGGTGACATCCTTCCGCCCGCACTAATGGAGGTTAACCTCTTCCTGCTCTAAAAAGGGGCCAATGGGCCCATCTACAAACAGCACCACCACTTGGGCCATCTGTCATCAACCTGGAGAGCCGGGGAAGCCGGCAGGCTCCACATGGTTCTTGTCACTCTTGGTGTTTATCAATGCACACTTCTCTTTTCGGTTCATTCCTGAAGAGTCATTTTCTGGACATCTCCATAACGCATTGAGATGTCAAGCCGCTGTTGTTCCCCCAGTTGGTGGTCACAGCCAGGGAAGTTGCTTTCTTGATTTATTACGTTGTCAGGAATCTCCAAGGAGCCAGCAGATGTCAAGAGGAGTTATGCTAAATGCCTCATTGAAGGGGTCTGAATGCTGCATATGCGTCCTCTAAAGACAGCGTGTTTCTCCTCTGGGGAAACGTGTCAGAATCATGCGGGGCCCTTTTTACACCTACAGTTGCCTGGAGATTCTGAATCAGTATGTTTGGAGTGGGGCCTGGCATAGAAGTAATTATAATGTTTACCCTTTTGTTAAAAACCACTACAATAAAATTAGATACTGTACCCATTCCACACCCCCCATCCGCTTTCTCTAAGTCTTAAAAAAAAAAAAAAAACTTTGAAGCCACTTTATGTGGGTAAAATAAATATGGATCATTTATAACCGAAAAAGAGCTGCTGTTCTTACTATGGACAGGCTTCCTGCTGGCTGGCTTAGAGGGGCCCAGGCTGGAGAAAGTTCTGTTTGGATCATAACAGTGAGACATGAACCACAATGGATAGAGTGTTTTGACCTCCAAGTTCAGTTCTGGAATTGAAATTGTCACCACTCCCCTTTCTCTCTTAAGGAACAAAGAACTAGTACCTAGGACTTTGCCTGGCCCCCCCAGAAAAAGGTGCCTGGTCTCTCATGCCTAGGATGGCTCTTCGGTGCAGATCAAACAGGACTGAGAGCAGACTGCCAAAGACCAGGGTGACAGTTGTGAGGCCAACAGGGCGAGCAAGCAGGTCTGCAGCTGCTGCCTGATGTGGGGCTGTTACGCCGCTCCTGGATTGCTGCTGGACAAGGAAACCTGGTTCCCTATTTGCGGAATGCTAGGGAAAATGCCAAAAGGTCACAGCTGGAAATGTAATTCCTCTCCCTAGGAAGAGAAATCTCCAAAATAACTAACTTGCTGACGATAAAGCCAGTGGTTCACACTTTTTGTCTACTCCAAGTCAGATTTCTAAAAATAAAATCATTAGAACTGCATTGGGCCCCTTAAACAATAGCCTTGGAAACATGGCCACATGAAAAGCTGGAACGCAGAAAGAGTCCGTGTTGCTCTGTATATAGCAAATCCAAATTTCCAGTCTCATTCTAGGATTTATCAAAATAGATAGCCTCTCAGACCCTCAAAGTTGCATACCTTTGGGAGGTATCAATTTCCTTAAAATAAAGAGACTGCGTTTTGTGTAAATATCTTTCATTTCCCCCCATCTGGAAGTGATTTCTTGGTGCATATTGGAGCATGAAGTACTATAGTTAATTAAACATTACTGGATGTCATTTGCTAGGGTGTATTTCCTCACTGTTGACAGAAAACAGAACGGACAATAGAAAGGAATCAGGAAGCCGGTGAGCCATGGGCCCCACGCAGTGTTTCCCCTGCACCCCTGTTCCCTGCCTAAGAAGGGCCCCTTCCCTGACCACCGAAGGGACCAGTGCCCGAAGACAGCCCTGCTTGTCAGCAGGGTCCTAGCATGTCCGGGCTGTGCCAGACACCTTCTATAAATATGTATAAAGTGTGCTGCTTCCAACTTGGAACCCTTCCTGTGCCCTGAATTTCTATCCTGTTGACTTTCCCTTCTCCACCTTGCTGTTCCAGTCATAGCCTGCTTTTCCATGTGACTGCAAATGAGTTCTCTCCCGTCCACAGTAAGTTAATCCGGTTTCCTTAATAACTGGGTGGGCATTTTGCAGTGAACTTTTTGGGAAGTCTGATGTTTCTTTCAGCGGTGGAAAATCTGTTACAGCACTTCCATTCAGTTGGCTTGGAGATCATTACCTAGTTTCCATTCTTTATTTTCACCAACTCCCCACTTCAGCAGGGTACCCAGAGATCAATCTGATGAAAAAAGAAACCTTTCCTTATAACCCTCTAGAAGGGCAAGGCGGGGTGGTTCACCTGCCTGGTTCTCTTCCCTCTCAACCTCCATAACTGGGCGTGGGAGGCCCTGGAGAGCAGCAGAATGGGAAGAAGGTGTCCAAGACCTGATCTCCAGGGCTGGGTCTGGCACTTTGACATCAGATGAGCCTTTGGTGCTCTGAAACTTAGTTTCCAGGGTCTGTGAAAGGGGATTCTAATGAATCAGACTGTATAGGTCACCTCGAACCAGGTGGTGTGCCCATGCTCTGTAAACTGTAAGGCATTGTGAAGTAGGAAGTGTTCATTATCACTGGCCAAGCCCAAACCCCTGGCAGCTGGCCTGGCTGGATGGTGGGCAGCCACAGGGCTTGTTCTGTTCCTGGACTGACTTAAGACAGCCGGTGGGCCGCATAACCATGCCGTTCTATGCCAGGTGCCTCTGCCACGGGTGTCGGAATAATAGCTGGTCTTTGCTTTTTTAAGTCATGCCCGTGATATCCAACTTCTTCAAAAGCTTGAGGACTCTCCAAACCCTGTCGTCCCCTTGCCCGAGCAGCTGCTATTTTCATAGCATTTAGGGATAAACCTTCAGACAAGGAGAAGAGAGCTTCCTCCCTCCCTCCTGTTGGCTGGGCTGCCTGTTGTGGAAAATGCAGCACGTTTCCTCTAAATGCAAATTAGGTTTGCCAAAGGCTGCCTTCCAAACGAATTCTTTAGATATGGTGTCTGGTGTCCACAGACCAGATTTCAACCGGCCATTCATGGCAGGCAGGGACAAAACTCTCGCCTGCCCTCTTTCTCCCCCCACCACCCCCTCACCTACAATGACCAAAAAAAACTGCGCAAGAATATCTTGGGACAGGCTATTTATCACCAGCTATTTAGTTTACAGTTGCCTTTCAAAGAAGTTTAGACCTTTCTCAAGGCCAGCTGAATCCCTGTAATCTGGGCTTTCAGTTCCCTCTGGGGATTTTGATACAGAGAGTGGTAAGTGATAGAGCGATAATAAAGTTAAACGGTTGGGTGCTTTGTCCCCTGGGAATGTTTATCACTTAATCTGAGGGCTCTGGTAGCTTCTTCTCAGTAATCAAATGGAATCTGTATGCTTGCCGGGCCTTCTCCTGTTTGGGGTAATTTTTCCAAAAGTGCGAAATTAAGAACAGCTTCTCCAAAAACTTCCCTTTACTTCCGAGGCCAAGACAATTATTTGCAAAGCGGGCTGCCTCTTTCAGGGGTACCAGGTGAAATGGGGGAGAGAAACTCTATCTCTTCTTGTGCTTGTTTGCTTTGCGCTGCTGGAGAAGGAAGGCAGTTCTCAGGGACAAGAGAAGCAGACCAGCTGCTGGAGAGCCCACATTCCACAGAATTCTTCACGAATGAAAGCCCCGTGGTTGGGCTGCCATTAGCAGACAAGATGGAAAAATAACATATTGTATAATGAAAGCATGAATTCATACAGAGACACCCCACAACCCCATACCCTGTTGTGTCCAGGGGCGGCTCTTAAAGGATTCCAAGTGCTGGCAGGGTAGCTGGCTGGCTCGGTTGTCAGAGGAGGGCACTGATCTAGGTGAGGGCCCAGCTGATCTAGCCCCGGGTGCTGGGTTGCCACCCGGCTACTGTA